AAGACTCCAAATGTTATATCTAAATTATAATCATTATATTTTTTCTCTTATAAAAATCAGAAAAAACCAAATCAAATGAGACTAAAAGAGTTCCAATACAAAAAAACTAACTAAAAAAATCAATGTCAAACGAAAACTGAGTTGGTTTAAATTCCATTTGCTTTACCAGAAATATAAAACTTCGGTTTAGTCTGAGATCAAACAATTCTCCTACCTATTAATCTTGGATTACGGTGTTCATGCCATTATGTTGTTTGTGGGGCCAATTGTGCAATCACTTCTCCATTCAAAGCCAATTTTTACATTCAGTACTAATTTTAGTATTTTAATGGAACATTAATGACATAGTAAGGAGAATAAATAAATAAATAAATAAACAAACAAACAGACAAATTAAAATCAAAATATCACATTATACCAACTTATTAGAACTGGCTTTAGAGCTCAATAATTATTTCTCGTCAACACCTTACTAATCTTTTACTTTATTTTAAAAAAAAATTATTATAAGTAATCATATTATTTTTTAATACATTTTATCGTAAAATATTAAAAAATTAATTAAAATACTTGATTTCTAAAAGAGCTCATTTTTTTAAAATTTAAATTATGTAAGAATTAGTGTTATTATTTTTTAGGGGTCAATTTTTTAAATCTTATTTAAGTTTTGAGAAAAATATAATAAGTTTTATAATTTTATAATTATATATATATATATATATTATTTGAAAGACTAAAAGGACCACGAACAAGAAAAAATAAATATTTCAGTGTAAAAAAAATCATAATATTTTTCAATATGATCTCTAATGATTTTTTAATGAAGATGGATTAAATGTGGTATAATTTAGGATTTATTGTACTTTCTAACTTTCAAGTATTGTCAAATTGTTTATTTAATTCTTAAATTAGCGATTGAGTATATTAAATCCGTAAATTATATAAAACAAAGTCTACCTAGTCCTTCAACTATCAATTGAATTTATTGAAATCCTAAAATATTAAATTCAAATTTATTTTGTCCATGAAATGATAACAAAAATAAAATATTAGTCCATAAGTATTATAAATTAATAAAATGCCTCATCTGGTAAATAAGAAAACCTTATTCACCCCAAAAAAAAAAAAAAGAAAACCTTGAACTTCTATTTTGTCTTTAATAAGTGAGTCCCAATTCTTTTAGTGAATTTATTTTATAACATAGCAGTAATTATTTATAATATTTTTTTACTTATATTATGCAATAGCTACTTATTTGCATTTATCTAGTGTTATATATTAAATTTCGGTTATAATTTCTAATTGATTTTGTCTTTAAATTTTTTGATAAGTTCTTGGAACAACTTCATTAATGTAATATTTTGTTTTGTTACTATTTGAAGCAAAATATTATTATTTGATTTTATTCTATTTTTTCAATATATCTAATATTCATCTAATTTTATTGACAAGATTGAAAACAACTCTAATGGCAATTTAAACATACAGCGAAACAAAACACCTTTTAAAGATAACATAGAAATTTAAAAAAAATTTAGAATAAAAACTTAACTAGGCAACATCTTTTAGTAATTTATAAGCATATATTTTATTTTATAATTCTTTCAAGCCTAAACAGGTTTGAATTGTAAACATAAATTTCAGAACATGAAACTTCATGTTTCGGATCATCTACCATGTATATCATCAAGAAAACAAGACTAAAATGACATACCTGAATCCATCGATGAACGGTTAAACGGAAGCATCTGATTGTCAATAAAACCTTGATATTGACTATGTTATTGCCTTCTAATCCTTTCCCCTTTGGTGTCTTATGTTTCTCCTTGAGAGGATTTAGAAAAACAAAACAGTGTTCTTATTTTTTTCCACTTTAGGAAGGAATAGGGACCATAACCTTTTAAAGGTTGTAATTGGTTTTCATAACTGAAAGGTAATGAAAACCAATAAATTAACCATTATTGGTTTAAAACTGAAAGGTAATGAAAACCAACTTTAACCAATATGTTTTAATTTCTATTTCTGCCCCTCATAGAAATAGAAATTATACAACTAGTATCTACACATTAGGGCCATAACACATATACCCTTAAGCCTATTAACTAAATTGAATCACTTAAATTGTAAGCTTCTTATAAATGATAACACCACATTTAATTATGTAGTCCCATTGAGACATTATCTAACAGAAAAATGATCTGTGAGCACCCCCAGCCACCGTTAGAAAAATGTTTCTCCCCCAAACACCATAGCTGCGTGATAAGTAAAAATCTAGAGAACCACTCTTATCTATTGAGAAAAATTTGGGATTATATGATGGAAAATAATTTTTTTAGTATGGAATCTATGTGAGGTCCATGTAAAATGTGGTGGAAATTAATTTATAAGTAATTTCTAAATTGATAAGGGTGGATTTGTAGTATTCGTGTGATAAATAAGTGGAAACAAACGGCCAAAAAATAATTCGGCACATTAGTGGCTAGCTCATGCCAGAGCAAGGTATTCTAATTGGTAAGGATGATCATAGATTCGTCCAATCTGTCCAACCCGATTAAACTGACCCAACCTAATTGATTTTGGGCGGATGCGTATTTTTTGATGGATGAATACGGATGAAATATTTTAAAATTCGTAAATACGATTTGGATGATGGATCTACTATCTCGCATCTACATGAATCCGATCCGCCCAGGGCCCGCCCTGAGATTTAGGGGGCCTAAGGCAAATTTTGAAAATTGGGGCCCCTCTTACATTGAAAAAAAAGGGTTCACGGATAAAACGATAAGTTACAACTTTTTTATTTGTCTGTAGTCACAAAAAAATTTACTTGCACAAATAATTATTAAAATTATAAACAAAACAATTTAATGAAACAAAATTAGGGCAAAAAAATTAAGAAAAAATCATTAAAATTATATTTTTATTTTAATAAATATGGGCCAAACTACACTTATAAATAAATATAGGATAAACCATATATGGAGCCAACAAAATATTTTGGGGCCCTTTAAATAGATCCTTAAAAAAAAAAAGGGAAATTACCCATAGGTCCCATGTGGAACATGTGGACACCATTTAATCCCACAACTTTTTGAGTACACCCAAAAGTCCTTTCCCCTCTCTCTCTGCTTTTTGCTTCCCTCTTTACGCCTCCTCCTCTAACCCTAATCTCAGTCCTAAAGTCAAACAAGAAGGCGATGAAGAACAAGAACAAGAAGACGATGAAGAACAAGAACAAGAAGACGCTCATCCTCAGATCTGTACTTAGATTGAACAGATTTGTGTATATATCTTTGTCAATTTCTCTCTCTTTCTCTCTCTATTTACAGATTTTTTTTGGGATAGTTGTTGATCTATGGTTGTTGTTGTTGATGATGAAATAGATCTATAATATCATTGAAACAGATCTGTAATGACTCAGATTTGTACAGATATCACACAGATTTGTAATGAGAAAATTTTCAAATTCTGAACAAGTAATTTTCGAGTTTTAGTTACAGACGGTGAAAACTGTAAAATTTTGCAGTTTCAAATTTTTTTTTTGGTACTGGAATGAATCATGGTTTAAAACTGTAAAATTTTGCAGTTTTATAACATTCTTTAGAACTGTAAAATTTTACAGTTTCATAACATGTTTTAAACATTCCGACGAGTCTCCGGCGATGTTGAACATTCCGACGAGTCTCCGGCGATGTTGAACATTCCGACGAGTCTCCGGCGATGTTGAACATTCCGACGAGTCTCCGGCGATGTTGAACATTCCGACGAGTCTCCGGCGATGTTGAACATTCCGACGAGTCTCCGGCGATGTTGAACATTCCGACGAGTCTCCGGCGATGTTGAACATTCCGACGAGTCTCCGGCGATGTTGAACATTCCGACGAGTCTCCGGCGATGTTGAACATTCCGACGAGTCTCCGGCGATGTTGAACATTCCGACGAGTCTCCGGCGATGTTGAACATTCCGACGAGTCTCCGGCGATGTTGAACATTCCGACGAGTCTCCGGCGATGTTGAACATTCCGACGAGTCTCCGGCGATGTTGAACATTCCGACGAGTCTCCGGCGATGTTGAACATTCCGACGAGTCTCCGGCGACCGTTTGACGGAAGTCCGACGGTAGTAAGATGTGAACAGTGCCTGTAAATTAAAAAAAAAAAGATTTTTTGGTAACAATTAAAAATGTATTGGACTAATTGGTGCAAATATTTTATTTTGGGATTAGCTGGGTTTTAAACTTAGTACATGGGACTTATCAGTAAGTTCCCCATATATAAATTTAAAATTAAAAAATAGATCTACTAATACCTAGTAGTAGAATAAAAAAATGAAAACAAAAAGGCATCAACTTTACGATACAGAATTAAACAATATTGCCTGAATTGACAAATTTGGGCATATTCCAGTTGTCCTCCTTTTTGTAATTGTTTTTGTTGCCAAAACTACTTTCTAATCACTTGCCAATTTTATCACGTTTCAACTAATGCACATACAAACTTTCTCAACAAACCTTCTCAAATGTATCAAGTATTAAAAAATAAACAAATAAACAAATTTTGCATAACTACCAATGAAAATGATTTGGTAATTCGAATTTGAATTTGTCCAAAAGCTAAATTTGTGCTTGCCGGTCGACCACTCAAACGACTAGTGCGACACTTGTTTACCGTAGTTGTTATCCTTGTTAACCACAACTATCACTTTTGTAAAGATTAAATGAGAAATTTCAATGTAAAAAAGTAATTAAAGTTGACGACTAAACACACAATTAGATCTAACCGCTCAAAAAACTTTTAGCCCAGGGCATTGGCTAATATAACTATACAAAATTATAATTTTAGACACTGAAATGCAAATTTATGAATTAAATAAGTAATTTTTAATGGCATTATATTGGCCAATTTTTAATGGCATTATATCCACTAAATCTAACACCTTAAATAATTGTTAGATTAGACTTTTGAACAATTTTCTCTGTAAAAATTTTATTATGCACACAGTTTGGAAAGCTCAACAAAATTGTGCAAAGACGATTTTACCCTCAACAATTTGTGAAATTCCACAACACCATAAGGGTAACTTGGCAAATTCACATCAAAAAGCAAAACTTTGAAAAGAACTTCAAAACTTTTTGCATAACAAACGCATCAGCGTTTTTAGATTCTAAAAAAGCAAAAATCAACTAAAAAAGCAGTAGTCGAACTCCACCTCAATCAACATCTCACTGAGATAAAATGTTGGACGGAGCACCAACACTTTCTAAGGAAAGATGTGGAGGGAAACTTAAACAAGTTGCCAAGCAAAACTCTAACACAAATAAAAAGACAAAAGACTGCAGTGTTTACCTGCTTGAGGAGCCTCTTTTGATACCGGTAGCCCTAATGACATAAATCAAATAATAACATTATTATGATACAATATAATCAGTTAGGTCAAACCAAAAAACTTCAAATAATAATTAAAACTAATTGTATAACGACCTTATCAGTTTCATAGATGTAATCACAGTAGGTGAACACGGATGCAAAGTTGCTCTGGCTTTGTCCTCCAACATAATGATGGTAATCATGGTATTCTGCACCACCATAAAATGGAATATATTTTATGGGATTCCAAGGGAGGTCATACCTGCGGGTTTACTTATTGGTTTTAATTTCTATTTGTTGGTTTTCAAAACTGAAAGGTTGTGGAAGTTCAAAAGGAATGAAAACCAACTTTAACCATTATGTTTTAATTTCTATTTCTGCCCCTTATAGAAATAGAAATTATACAACTAGTATCTACACATTAGGTCCATAACACATATACCCTTAAGCCTATTAACTAAATTGAATCACTTAAATTGTAGGCTTCTTATAAATGATAACACCACATTTAATTATGTGGTCCCATTGAGACATTATCTAACATGAATTAGTTATTTTATAAACTTAATAGATTCAATAGATAGTTTAGGAACTAAATAAATTTTGATTTATATGTGTTAGGGATTTAGTAGACTCAATTGATAGTTCAAGAACTAAATAAATAATTTGACGATAATTTAGGAATAAAAAAGTATCATAAACCCTTCTTAAATAGAGATAGAAGATGCTGTTTGTAGATTAGTAGACACTCAATATTTTGTTAATGTAAAGAAAAAATAATGGGTGATTCTACTTACACCACTCTTTTACCTCCTTACACCCTCCATCTCATTACACCACTTAAAAAAAATTGAATTCTCATTACACCTAATATATTACCAAAACAAACCCTATGATAAAAAAACTCTTCAAAACCCATCTCTTTACACCCATACTTTGTGCTACGCCTATTCGGTAATACAATACTAAACAATTTGAATTACTCTAGTTCCATGTTACCGAATAAAATTTTGTTTCCTAGCATTATGTTACCATTCAATCGGATAATTTCAGTACGCTTCCCAACAAAGCCAGTAGAGTCCACATTGAAGTGCCTGTTTGGTCACACAATGCGAAACAATTTACAAAAATTCAGTGCTATAATGTCGAAATAAATTGTTTGTTCCAACCTTTTGTTGCTATACATTTACAGAGCCACTTTGTTCCAAATGATAATTTGGGCCTGTTCGGTAATTTGATACCAGACTTATATTTTTTGTTCGGCAATTTGATACCAGACTTATATTTTTTGTTCAGTAATTTACCGAAAATGTATCTTTATTCGGCAATTTGATACCAAACTTATATTTTTTGTTTGGCACTGTGATGCCGGACTATGTTATTTTGTTCGATTTTGAAACACCGAACAAAAGTCGCAGACCAACCCAGAAAATTGAAACAAAAACCTACCAAACTAATAAAAAAAACTCACCATTCCACTTTTTTTATGATTTTTCACCACCGTTTCTTCATCCATTGTTTTTTTTTTTTTTTTTTTTCACCGTTTCTTCATCCATTGCTTTTTTTGATGATCAAAACACTATGATTATCACTTTTTCCAAAGAGATGTGTAAAAGAAAAGTTGAGAAAGGAAAAACAGAACTAGGGATTGAAGATCAACGGGTGTGAGGAGATAATCAAATATATTTAATTTTAGTATTTTGTCCTTTTAAGTAATTTCACACATGGATAAATTTGGAAGAAAAAAATAATCTCATATGGAGGGTGTAAGGAGATAAAAGAGTGGTGTAAGTAGAATCACCCAAAAATAAATGAGGCTCTCTATTTGTGTTTTTTTTAGACCCAAAAATTTATAAAATTTCATTTTACCCAAAAAAAATTTGGGACATTTATAAAGGCCAATTGGGCCCTTATAAATTATATTGGGCCTTCTCTAAGAATATAAGAAGATAGATGGGCTGTCCTCTAAAAATAGAGGAAAATAGATTTGGTCTATTTAAGTCCGGTTTGGTTGAGTTTTGAAATTGTAATTTTAATCAAAAAAATTCAAAACTCTTTTCAAATTTCATAATCAAACACACAATTTAAAACTCAATTCAAAAACTATTGTCAAAACTCATAATCAAATACGCAACTTAGAACTCTTTCGATGAATTACACCTATACTTCCTGACATTGTCTATAATACAGTTTTCTCCTTGAGATTTTGGAAATTACACTGGGCCTCATGTTAAAATTGGTCCATTAACACCTCTAATAAAAAAAATATAATGACCATATTAAACAATTGGGTTTGCAACTCCAAATCGAACAAACATCTAAACAAATTCACCTTAAAAAATGAACAAAGATCTGAAGCATAAGCTTAAACAAAGGAGGGATTTATCAACCCCAAAACACAAACCCAAATTTGAAAAAATGAAGGAGAGAATGAGGGTGAGAGAGAGAGAGAGAGAGGGCGATCACAATTGTCACGGCCCAAACCCGCTCCTATGTGTTTAGCACTGTAACCGGCCAGTAATCCTTGGATTACCAAAGGCCTCTGAATAGAATAACTTATAAATAAGGGCTGCGGAAGCAAATATAGAGATATTTATAATCCATAGAGCCGTGCAGACATACATGGAACAAAAGCTTAAAACTTTGATACAAAAGAGTGACGTTATATAGAAACATTAGTCATACGTCACCAAAATCACATATACAGATTTTCAAAAACTAATATGTTCAGACAAAATGTAAACATCAAAAAGTACAAAAGCCCCCAAGGTTCATTTCTCAAAAACTTGGTTGGATTTCAAGAGGAACCTCCACGGGAGGCACAGTGGTTAGTTGACCCACACTTTCCAGGCAACAACTTAGGTCTGGTCACACGCCTGCTCACCTTCATACATAATAAATAAATAGTGAGCGAAGCCTAGTGAATAACAACAGAGTGAAGATTTTACTGAATAATGTCCATGCAAAAACAGAGTCTTATATATGTTTATATGTCAAAGCAGAAACATATTCGTATACGTAATCATATTTGTATTCAAAGTTCATACATTACACATCATAGCGCGTAGCACATCCATTAGCGTTAACAAACCCGATGACCCATAAGGGAACTGTCGTGAAGGCATTTTGATGACCCATAAAGGGATAGCCATAAGGCATTCCAATGGCTCATGTGCATAGAGACATTTCCGATGACCCATAAAGGGACGGCCACAAAAGCATTCCGATGACTCATGTGCACAAAGACGTTTTTGATGACCCTTAAAAGGACGCATATCATATGTTGCTAAGGATGCCACGAATACGTTTCAGAAGCTTAGACGATCATTCATTCATACAAAACATAGCATTTCAAAAAACTGATCATTTCTTGTCATTAGAAAATAATTAAAATTAAACATAACTTTACAGAGTTATTACTCACAGATTATTGCACCGATAATTTTGATAGCAGCCAATGGGTCAATAGTTCACAGCGCGTGACATACACAAACGTAATAGATACACATTTTGAAGCACACGCTCGGGCCGTACTTAACTTATTTTGTTTCATTCTTAGTATGTATTTCTAATCCTTATCCTTCATGTTATGTTTTAATCTTGGCCTAGAAACGCTTAGGATGCAATGTGGATGCCAAAATGCATTTGAAAACACTTGGTCAAAATTGCTGAAAACATGGGTCCTGCTCGAGCATAACTTCCTTCACTCGAGCGAACATGAAAAATGTGAGGGGTCGCTCGAGCGTAACTTCCCTCACTCGAGCGGTCTACAAACTTTGAAAAAGTATTGGTTTTATGAAATCTCCACTCGATGGCCACTCGACTCTCGCTCAAGCGTGAGACTCATGCCCTCGCTCGAGCGGTCTGCAAAATATGCAAACTTCTAGAAGCATGGATTTCACGCTCGAGCGGACTTCAGGTTGCTCGAGCGGAGGTGTAAGATCATAGAGTGGTCGCTCGAGCAGAAAATCCACTGCTCAAGCGGAGAAGCAGAATCTAGAATTTTCAGATTGCTCTTCTCAGCTCAAAACTCAAATTCAAAGCTACAAAACTCATTATTTTGGGCCAAACACTTGAGAAAACACATTTAAACTTGGGAAACATCAAAAAGTGAAGATCATTTCACAAAATCAAAGCCCAAGAGTAGGTCAATTACTCAAAATCAAGCTTGAAATGTTGAAAACAAGTCATGTATATAATATATTGACTCCAAAATTTCCAAATCATGATCAAATAAGATAACTTGATGGAAAACATGATGAATTCTCAAAACTATGGTAGACTTGGTACATGCATGTGAAAATTCATCACAATTAAACTCAAAATGAAAAAAATGTATATGCATGCATGGTATGTTATTCCATCTTACTTCACTAGCCAAAATCTTGCATGACTCAACTAAATCTCTTGAATTCATGGTCTAGATGTCATAAATTTACAATTCAAGGGTTGAATTTCCAACCTTAAGCTTGAATTCTCAAGTATAGAAGTGTAATCTTCAAAGGTCCTTCCAAATTCCTCCGAGTCTCTAGCTTAAACTCAGCCAATTCTTGGTCTCCCTTTTATTTTTGGTCTCAAACTCTATCTCTCCCTCACTCTCACGTTCTTGAGCTCAAGATTGAAGAAATGAAGGTGTAAAAATGTGTCCTAGAATTCTCACATGCCTTATATAGACTTAATTATGAAGATTTCATTAATGACTAATCAATCAACATTATTTACTCTAACTTAATTGTCCCGAATTGAATTTCAATTGAACATACCATAATGTTCTAAAAATTCCAAATAACACATATATCAAGTCAATTTCGTGATCGGATGCCGATAAGGCCTTCAATTCGCAAAATATAATAGAATTTCAAACAGATATTCCTACGATAGACAAATAGGTACACAAATAATGCAGAGCACAAATCATTAACTCAGGATTTTATCTTAATTACTTATTAGGCATATTAAATCATGGATTAACGTTAATCAGAGGTCGGGGTTGTTACAACAATAGAGAGGGTGGATCGCGATAGTGGATCGTAGTTGGGGAGGGTGGATCACTGTTAGAGAGTATTGATCGTGGCTGGGAGACCTTGAATTCGGCGTAGTTGTTTTGCGCTGGCAAAAGGCAGCTCGGATTTGACCTTAGACCTTGGAGATAAGGGGTTAATCGGTGGGTGTTGGGTTTATGTGCTACAGGTTATGTTGAGAGAGATGCAAATAGAAGAGATGTAAGGAATATAACTTTTTCAACCTATTTCCAACC